GTCTTAAAGTGGCCAAGTTTGAGGAACACTGACCTAGAGAGCTGATGTATTCCCCTTCATTGTGTGTGTTCAAGTGGACATCAGATATCCATTGGACGCTTTAGATTCCTGCATAGAGTGTTGGACAGGATGACCTTAATGACCACTTCCAACTTTGTAATTCTATGATTTAAGGGGGCTTGTGTGTGTGTGTTTTGCATTGGTATATCGATTTCTCTGCATCAGAATTATGTCTTCCCCTTCTTTACCCAAGGGGTTTTAGCCAAGGGGTTTGCGCCACAAACCATATTTTTAAAAGATGCAAAACTGACATGCAGCAAAGATGTGAAGTGGGTGAAGAGTGAGTTATCTTTCAAAATGCAGCTTTGTGAGTCTGAATATTAAGAATAAGCACCATGTGACTTTCTTTAAAAAAAAACTTTGTGCAAATCCTAGCCTTTACTTCTTAAACAAATAAGCTTGTAGACCTCACAGTTGCAGAAGTTAGTTAAGAAAAGTTTAGGAAGGCTAAGCTCAGAACAATTATTTGACTAATCACTACCTTGAAGTCTTCCAGTACTGGTTTTAAATATTTAAATGTACTGTTCTAGGAGACCATGATGCCAAAAATTGCTAACTTATGGCCAGACATTCACAATTCTGGGAATAGGGAGAGGTGAAAGAGGCAGAAAGAAAGATGCATTCATTACTTCTGGATTAGTTGTCTACACATTAGTGCATCCAGATAGGAAGTTCGCTTTGACACCCTGGAAAAATCATTGCTACGTATGCCTTATCAGAGCCATAAGGCTAGAAGACAATGATATAAAACCTAAAAAGTAAGTTAATATAAATATACATGTATATCCATTGACAAGTATGTATGGATATAAGATATATACCAAGGAATAAGAATAGAATATAAAAGTATAGGGATAAAAGTGCAATAATAATAATAATAATAATAATAATAATAATAATAATAATAATAGAAGAATAAAATAATATAAAATACCAGTCAGTAAAAAAGTCAGAATCTTCAATTACAAGTAGAACGAATATCACATAGAGCAGTGTTGTCCAAACTTGGCCACTTTAAGATGAGTGGACTTCAACTCCCAGA